GGGGGGAATGGTGAACTCTGTTATGCCAAAGACGGACTGTCACTGCGTCAGCTCAATCCTCGCTTCCCCCTTTCCTCGAGGGAGCAGTCTAGCAAGAGGAGATGAAAGGACAGGGCTACTCACCGTCACAAACGTCAGCGGGAGGAAGACCATGGAGCTGAGGGTCAGAATCTTGATGTTGTCGCCCTGCTCGATGGCGCGACGGCTCTCCTTGATGGAGCTGCCGCTGAAAAGCTGGTCGCGCAGGTTCTCGATTTCCTTGCGCGTCGCCGTGTTGCGCTGGGCCACGTGCTCGAGATCACGGCAGGCGCGTTCGAGCTCGGTGCGCAGGCCGGCCATGGTCTCACGCCAGGCGATGGCGTCGGGCCCGTCGGGGTCCGGGTGCGGCCAGACAGCCGAGTGGCGTCCGGCCCAAAAGTCGTCTGTGAACGAGTCGGCGTAGGCAGCGAGCATGGCGCGCAGGCCGGCGTTGATGACACCAAGCGTGTTGTAGGCCCAGAAGTAGCGGCGAATATACGTGAACCGCTTGTCCTCGAAGAGCAGCTTGTCGCGAAGTGACGGGTCAAACATAAAGTCAGTTGGCGGCGTGATGAGCTTGGTGATGCGTTCATGGATGGCGATGTTGCGCCGCGTCGCGTCGCGGTACTCGGCAGCCAAGGCGTCGAGGAAAGCGTGCGGTCCGCTGGGGAAGCGACGCCGCGGCAGGTCATCTTCAGAACGCACCGTGTGCTCGTCGTCCGGGAACGACTGGAGGCTCAGGAGGTGCCAGGGCGCGAACGGGTCGAAGACTGGACCCTCCTGGGGGCCTTCGCGACGCTTCGAAATCTTGACAGACTGTACCGCCGGGCCGGCCAACGAAAGGGCCAGGACGGACGAGCACTCAGCAATGTCAATGTGATCGAGAGAACGCGCGTCCGATGGCCGCTTATCGTACTTTTGCCAGGCCGCAGGCTCGAGTCCTTCGCCCACGACGGTGTAGTATTTGAAAACAAAAAAGGCCGACCGCTGACGCACCCTGTTTGGTGTGTCATCCTTGACAAAGGCGCGGTTTACATAGGCGCGCGTTTTGCCCTTGTTCTCTGTGTCTGTGGTGAAGTGTCTCAACAGCTCTGTCATGTCAAAGTATGGTGACATGGTAAGGTGAAGCGCTTCAAGCATGAGAGGCGTGGGTTCCTGAAGGGTCGTCATGAGGCCGACGGCCTGGCCGTTGCTGTGAATCTCTTTGAGGGCATTCCAGACTGTCGGGGCGTCGACGATCTGACTGGGCGTGATGACCTGGGGTAAGCCAGGAGTTTGGTGGTTTGGCTGCCTGCCGACGGGCGTTGCTAGTCCATCGGCATCAATGTCGTACAGCTCGAGAGTCGAGCTGATGAAGCCCTCATGCTCATAGGCGGCAAAGCTGGCAAAGTCGCCATTTTCATCGATATCAGACTGCTTGTCCAAGATGTCCTTGATGGCCACCTCAGCCATGCCGTGAAATTCAGTGCGCTTGAGGTGCCGCATCAGCTCGCCGTCGGTCCACGAGCGACGTTCGATGGGCCGAGGCACAGCAGGAGCGTATCCATTGCCACGTTGCGGGGCTGCCGGGTCGAGGAGCGGTAGGAACTCTACTTCGTATTCCGAGTGCAGCGAGGCTGGGGTGTGCTTCCTCTCAATGCTGAGAAACTGCGGCCGCCTTTCATTTGGGTCGAGAGTCGGGCGACGGCTTCTTGGGCCAGGCGACTGCGACGGAAAGGTCGCATCACCAAGGAGCTGAGGGCTTAAGGCTGGACTGCTCGCAGGTCTCAACAGAGGCGAGACAGGGATTGTCGAGCGCAACTCGGATCGCTGGCGAACGGACGATGCCAGGGCATCGTGCAGGGTGCGCAAGCTACGCAGGTATTGCTCATGAGATGCCTCGACAGCGCGCAATAGCTCGTCAGGGTTCTGGTGGACAGCCATGTTGGCAATGGCCTCGCGCCGTCTTTCTACGTCAACGACGGAAGGCAAAAGACGAGAGACGAAATAGTGGGTGGAGTGAGAGGGAATTGATCAGACATCGCTGCCTTTTCTACACCTTTTGGCAGCGGATGGCCAGCCTTACAGTCGCAAATGACACTAGCATTCGCCCTGCTGAACAGAGTAAAATGGATAGAAATGTCATGGTCGTGCTGTGCATTAGCCTAGGCAGCTTTCATATGAATAAGTGGTCGATCAGTGCGGCTGTGCTGTGCCAGCCTCGGACGATGGGCGTGGTGACATGGGGGTGGGCGGGACAAGGAACGGGTCATCCACCAGTTTAGGACGACAGCTTCTTATGACAATAACCAACGCTTGCGAGCTCATCAGGAGAGGTATCCTTGAACGACAGGCTTGGGCCGCGCGCCGTTTCATGTCGTCAGTCGAGAGCCAGTTTCTCCGGTTGTTCCGGCTCGCTTTCTACTAGGCTGGGTGAGGTTTCTGACGGCAGCTGGGCCAGGCTTCAGAGCCGAAGTTCGGCAGCCAGGCGGAGCAAGGCAGCGGCCATCGTTTTTTTTGGGGGCTGTCGATGGCGTCGTCCTGTCGCTTCTCAACTCTTCGGTGTCTCGCGGCCCCGAGCTTGATCTGGCCGCTGAGGCGGCTGTTCTCGGCACAGCCGAATGACGACAAGCCGAGATAGTGGATGGCCAACGCGTGCCGCCTCACTGTTGTGACCCAACCCCCAAGGCAACAGAACGAATCGGTGCTGAAAGCTTGATACAAAGTAAGCGATTTCTTATGTTCTTCAAGATGCATGCTGATTAGCCCCATTGGGCCTCATGACATGTTGCCAAGCCCATGCCACTCCAGCGGTGCAACCTCCTACACAGCACTTGGGCCCTCTGCCGAAAGAGTGCAAGATCGAACCTTTGCGTGTCGAGCAGCCGAAAGGGAACCTGGGTGCGAGAAGCTTGGGGGCACAAGCTGGTAAACGCCCTCCAGCGATCTTGCCCTCTTGGCGCTCGTCAACTCTGAGACAACTCCCCTGTAGCAAAACAGCTGCATTCCAAATTCTAGGGACTGCCTGGTATCTAAGCACTGGCTGGGGCTCCCAATGCTATCCCGCGTCCATTAATCCGCTCTGGACAAGCCACATGCCACTGAGCTTCTTCATTCCTGTGCAGTCATCCATGTCATAACAAGGTTCGTCTCAGCAAATACGCTCGTCCGGCTCACAGTTCCCCCGAGCCATGTTTTCATCATCCATCCAGTGACCCTTCCACGCGTTCCAGATCCAACCATAATCCAGAATAGGCCTTGGGTGAGACCGTTTTCACGGCCATCTGTGAAGGCAGCTCCTAGTGAGACTTGATCTCGGTGGGTTGAACCTGGGGAGCAGCCGCACCAACCACCTTGTCGGCAGCGTCGACGTCCATGACATCTTCGTCCATGGCATCGCCTTCGACCTCGCCCTCTGCAAGCTCCTCGTCCTCGAGATCGTCCTCGCTCTCGCCCTCGATGTCGACACTGCCGTCATCAGAAACCTCGTCCTCTTCAGCATCGCCGACGGCCTTGCCGCTCTTGCCGTCCTTGTCAGCCTCGCCGTTCTGGCCGTTCTCTGTCTCGACACCGGCCATCTCAGAGTCTTCAGCCGGGATGGCGACCTTGTTCTCGCCGTTGGCGTTGGCATCAGCACCTTCGGCGCCGTTGGCATCAGCCTCCTCTTCCTCGCGCTCCTCGGCACCATATTCGTCCTCATCGGCGGCAAGGTCGGCCTCGGGCTGCTCAGGGGGGAATTCGGCGGGGGCAGAAGCATCAGAGTCCCTGAGTACATAGTTAGCGTCGTCCTACAGCCATGAACCGGCAGCAGGGCTACGTACCACTTGATGGCGAAGCGAGTCACACGGGGCTTCTCGGACAGAATGTTGCGGCGAACGCGTTCGATGATGGGCTTGGAAGGAGGCTCGGCGTTGAGCTCCTCCAAGTCGTACTCATTGTTGACGTAGTAACCGACGCGAATAAATTCGCGACCATCGTAGGCGCAGGTCAAGAGAATCACAGTGACACCGAGGATATCGGCGTCAGGGATGCGCGTGGTGTCGGGAGCGCCAGCCTCGAATATGAACTTGTTGACGCCCACGGGGATAGGACCAACAAGAAGATCATCGAGTTCCTGGTCGTACTGGTCGCTTGTGGCGGAACCGACGTAGGTGAGCTTCCACTCGAGATCTGCACGCAAGGTGGTTCGAGTCAGTGACGTGCACGCATATGAACAGGGAGACGCGCAAAGGAGCACGCGCCAGACATCGCAAGGCATACATACCCTTCTGCAACTGCTCAAGGCATTCGAAGGTGATCTCGAATTCGTACTTGTCGGTGAATTTGGCAGGGTTGTTCAGGACCCGAACGCCAAGAAGCGAGACGACCGACATGTTGGAAGTGGTGAAGCGGGGAGGCAAGAGAGCGGTGAAGTGTGTGTTGCGTGCAGGCAACAAGTGGGTATCGAGAAAACGGTGGTTGAAGAAGAGAAAATGGGAAACGGATCTGCGCACGGAACGACTCAAATAGACGCGAGCGGGCGAGAGGGAGGAAGGGAGGGAAGTTGTTGTTTTTGCTTGAGGAGGGGGGGCAGAAACGGTTGTGTGAGAAGAAGAGGGATGAATGGTGGTGAGATTGGATGAGGAGAGCCAAAACAGACGCCTATCGCAAATGGCCTTAGAGGGGGGGGTTGATCTCTGTGATGGCGGGACGACGGGCGGGGACCTGTACCTGCCCCCAGACTGGGACCTGGACCTGCCTGCATCGCACTTCCCTTCACTTGTCTTGCTTTCCTTGCTTGCCTGCCTGGTTGCTTGCTTGTGCTTTCCTGACCAAGCGACCCTGGGGAACGCGCCTGCCCTGGGTCGGCCAGGCCCACGACCCGCGATTTTCGCGTAGAGTGGTCGCTGCCGTTGAGTTAGTCTATATCAGGGAAGGTGCAAGGGAGCCCCTGCCGCCGATGTTCTGCCTGGCGACCGCCCTGTACGCTAGCCCTCTTTCGGTCGTTTTGCCAGGGTCGTGCCTCCTGTCCCAGTTCTTTCCGCGGCTCAAGCTTCTGGCGTCAGCCCTCTGACTTTTTGCGCTGTCCAACCTTCCTCATCGCCGTCTTTGTACGCCAGCCAGCCCATCGCCAGCCCATCGCCAGCCCATCCTCTCACGGCGAGGGAGTGCCAGCGCATACGACCTGCTCTACAGCTTTCATTTCTTTCGGCCTGTGCGCGCCGACGATTTGCCGTGTTTCAGCTCCCTTTCCTCTCCCGATCATACTGACCAAGCTTGGTACACGCATTTGGACGACCATCGTCAACACGCTCGACAACCGACGACCGCCAGCCCACGCCCGAAACGAATTGCTTCCAAGAATCATCGGTGTAGCTCTAGGTCAACACACTCTCGCCTGTTTCTGCTGTTATGGCGACTCCGGATCCCCAAGAAAACGAGCAAGAGTTCGAAGGTGCTTCCTGGGAAGAAGAGGAGGAAGAAGGGTATGAGGGTGCCAATGAGACTCAGCATAGTGACCAAAAAGATCAAGAACCCGACTCTGCACTTGCTCAACCTTCCCACGGTGAACCAGAAGAACCAGAAGACGAAGGCGACGATGACGAGGATGGAGAAGATGATGGCGAAGATGATGGCGAAGATGGCGAAGAGGACGACCAAGAGGACATGGAGGAACAGGACGAGACGGAGGAGCTGGAGGAACAGCAGCAAGACGATGACAACGATGGCGATGGTGATGGCAGCGACGATGGCGCCGAGTACGACCCCGAGTCCGTTTCGATCACACCGATCCCTCAGATCACAGAACCTGCCTCCGCCCCTGCTCCTGCCACTGCCCCCGCGCCGGCCGCGCCGGCCAAGCCAAGGGCTGCGAAGCCTAAGGTGTCCGGAGGATTCCTAGTGGGAGACTCGGACGATGAGGACGATGATGCGCCCCGTTCCAACTCTGCACTGGGTCAGGTGGCTTCCATTTCCCGCCCACAATCCGCCCTGAATGTGTCAACACCCAACCAGGCCCAAGTAGGCGCCTCGTCCACGCCGGTCAACGGTGGGCCATATGCTCCTCCTGCTTCAGTTGCTGCTGCTTCCGCGCCCGCGTTGGCCACAAGCGCTTCTCCTAGCGTAAGCGCACCTCACACTGCCACAACACCTGCTGGCAGGGATCCAGGTGACGTTGTCGGCCGACTTGAGGATCGGATCAAGGAAGACCCTCGAGGCGATATGGACGCATGGCTTGCGCTCTTCGCAGAGCTCCGCCGCCTCAGCCACGTCGATGCTCTGCGTCAGGCCTACGACCGCTTCGTCACAACATTCCCACAAGCTGTAAGTTCCTCCACCAGCGCGCGCATCTCTTCCGCCATGCTGACGAATCCAGGCCGACATATGGGTTGAGTGGATCAAGCTTGAACTCGACAGCATGAATACAACTGCCGCCGAGGCACTTTTTCAACGCAGCCTTCTCACCGTCTCAGATGTTCAGCTGTGGACTACCTATATCAACTACATCCGCCGCCGCAATGACCTCAGCAACGATCCCAACGGCCAGGCACGCCAGGTCATCAGCCAATCCTACGAATTCATCATCGATAACGTGGGCATGGACCGCGAATCCGGCTCACTGTGGAAGGACTGGATCCAGTTTATCAAGAGCGGGCCTGGCGTCGTCGGTGGCCCTGGCTGGCAGGACCAGCAGAAGATGGACCAGCTACGCAAAGCTTACCATCGTGCTATTACCGTGCCCATGTCAGCCCTAACGGAGCTCTGGAAGGATTACGATCAGTTTGAATTGGGCCTGAACAAGGCTACGGGCCGGCAATTCATCCAGAAGAGGTCGCCTGGCTACATGACGGCCAAGTCTGCTTCCTTACAAATGGATCGCAAGATTGGCAACCTCAACCGCACTTCCCTGCCCCGTCTTCCTCCAGCACCAGGTTTTGCTGGTGCTACCGAGTACATGGAGCAAGTCAACATCTGGAAGCAGTGGATTCAATGGGAAAAAGAAGACCCGCTCGTTCTTGCGGATGACGAACCTGAGGTACTGAAGCAGCGCATTCTCTACGTTTACAAGCAAGCCCTGATGGCATTGCGTTTCTGGCCCGAGATGTGGGTGGACGCTGCCGAGTGGTGTTTTGAGAACAACATCTTCAAAGACGGGGTCGATTTGGGCATCAAGTTTCTCACAGACGGCATTGCGGCAAACCCCGAGAGCGTTCTACTGGCTCTCAAACATGGCGACCGGATCGAAATGACACTTCCCGTTGCCGATACTGAGGAAAGCAAGGAGGAGCGAGCAAAAGCAATCCGCGCGCCCTATGACCAAGTCTTGGAGACGCTCTACCATATGATGCAAAAGTTGAAGGAACGCGAAAAGAACGAGCTTGCCAAGATCGAAAAGGCAGCGACGGAGCACGCTGGGCGTAACGACGGGGACGATAATGACGACCAGGACCAGACACTTGCCCTCGAGCAGCGAACGCAGGCTGTCAAACAGGGCTTCAGCCTTCAGACTGAGCTGCTGAAGCGTACTATTTCCTTTATCTGGATCGCTCTTTGTCGCGCGATGCGTCGCACGCAGGGCAAGGGATCACAGACCAAGGGCCTTAGGCAGGTCTTCACCGAAGCCCGTGGCAAGGGTCAGCTGACAAGCGATGTCTATGTGGCTGTCGCCTTGATAGAGTCCGTGGTATACAAGGATCCTGCAGGTGGTAAGATCTTTGACCGTGGCGCCAAACTGTTTCCCGAGGATGAAGGTTTCATGCTGGAGTACATCAAGTACTTGCACTTGAAGGATGACACAACGAGTGAGTGGTACGGTCAGCATTGCATCGTTCACAGCTAACATGTCGCAGACGCTCGCGTCGTGTTCGAAACATGCGTCAACCGTCTAACGCAAAAGCCCGAGAAGAAGCACCGGGCCAAGATGCTCTACAAGTACTTCCACAAGTATGAGGCGCAGTTCGGCGAGCTGTCGTCTGTCGCGGCACTGGAACGGCGTATGGCGGAGCTTTGGCCAGAAGATCCCAAACTTTCTCACTTTACAGAGCGGTACTCCGTCGATAGCTTCGACCCTATTGCTTATCGACTGATCATCTCACCTGCCGTCCAGCTGCGGCCCAATCTCGTCATGCCCTCGATTGAGCAGGCCACATCTGTCCGTGACGCTACTCCGTTGCCAGTAGCTCCGCCTGTACCGGTCCCAGTGCCGGCGCCCGCTCCTACTACCGTTCGGCAGACAGCGAGCCCAGTGCCTCAGTACCTCGGTACGACAAATTCTCCAAAAAGGCCTTATCCCGGCGACGACCAGGAGGAATACAACCGCCCACGCAAGCTCGCTCGTGGACAGTCGCCTCTCAAGGGTGCAGCAGGTCGCCGTCTTGACCAGCAGCGACAGAACCAGGGCGCACCGCTTGCTCGAGACATCACATTTTTCCTTGGTATCCTACCACCGACGCACTCGTACAATGCCCAGCTCTTCAGCGCCAGTGGCCTCGTGAACCTTCTGCGGGACACTCCCGTACCAGATTACAGTACGTGGAAGGCGAACCAGGATCAAGGCATGCGGCAGGACGGGGCACAGCCTCGCGGAGCGCCTTCGACTCATGGCCGTCAGCCTTCTGGCGGAGACTATTCATCTTACAACTCTTTTTCTGGGGCACGGGATTCGCCAAACCCCCGCCCCCTAAGCCCCTATGAAGGCGCCGCAGGCCGCCGCATCGCTTCGCAATCAGCCTACAGGAACTCACCTTTGAGGCCAGAGTCCGGTGCCACATTTGAAGGTAGTTCCGGAGCCTACCGCCGAGATGCGCAGCAGCAGTTTACGCAACCACCTCCAGGCCAGTGGCCGCCGCCGAGCGCGCCACAGTATGAAGGCAGTGCCCCTTCGAGCTGGCCGCCGCCACCGAATGGCTACTCTGGATATACAGCCCCCCCTACGCAGCAGTATGGACAATATCAGTATTAGGGATCGGCGCCGGGTCAAAACCTGACGGCGAGATCTTGCTCGCATTCTTTTATCAACAGGCTGGGGGACTGGAGTCTGGAGAAGCAAGTGTACAAATGGAGATTTCCAGCAGATGGATGGATGGATGGTCTGCAATTTTGTAATCTAGTCTGCGCAATGGCGAGCCGCAGTTGCCACTTTGATACACGGTGGCCAGAGAAGTATTCACCGAGGCAATTCTATCTCTTAGGTGGAATAAGGGGGGGGGATGGAGTGAGTTCCTCAGAAGTGCAGTCTTGGTGATTCCCCATGCTGTTCTCTCGTTTGCACGTCTTCACCTGGTGAGTCAATTGGCAAGCACGTGACAGTCAAAAGCGAAAATAGCATCTTATGTAATCCATCTCGGTCTGTACCAATGAACTCCTCCGTATCCACCTCAAGGCTCACTCACTTCGACACTCACCTGCCCTGCCTTCACGTCTCCAAGAGTTGCGAATAGATCAGCGAACGTAGCTAAGATGCGAGTCCTTGTGCTTTGCAGCCTTTCTCCTTTCACAACAAGCCATGGCTAGTTCTAACAAAACCGTCAAATTTGTCGAATCCGACCCTTCAGGTCTCCCCTTGAAGCGAAAGCAGGTTCAGCAAGCCTGCGAGTCATGCCGAAAGCGCAAGGTGAGTCCTAGGCGGTGGTGGCCTTGATGAGCCTCTTGCTGAGATTGCATAGAAGCGCTGCATTCACACAGAGGGCGACGAAGACACTGATGCCTCAAAGAGTCCCGGTTCTCGAACTCGGAACCACGATGGCACCCCCAACGGCCAAGGGGACCATGGTGTGACACCGTCCGCGCACTCGTCGAGACGCTTCGTCTGCGACACCAACCCAGAAGGCTTGTTCGCCGAGGCAACAGGCTCGGACGCTCTGGGAAGCAAGAGGGGCAGCCGCTTCCTCGGCGACACGAATCCCGAAGGCATGTTTGCAGAAGTGACGCACAGCGACGGCGCCACAAGCACAGCTCGCAATGACGAGGTCGGCGTTTGGGTATCTACAAGACACGATACATCAGTCGCGCCAGAATCTGCCAACGTGACGGCGCCACACCCTGCCATTCCCTACGACGAGATCCTGCTTCCCTATGTCCAAGAACACTGCTTGACCTGTGTCCCTCCAGAAAGGGAGTACCGCCAGTTGAAGAAAGTCTACACACGCAAGATTCATCCCATCTACGCCCTCGTACCCGATTCCGCCATGACCGACAATGATTCTCCAGCCAACATTGTGCTACGCCAGGTCATTTCCTTGGCAGCCGCTACTGACCCCTCCATGGCGAACTATTTGAGGCTGAGTAACAAGGGCAGTGAGAAACTGTCATTCGTAGAGTTCTCGCAGGCTCTATCCGGTGCTGTTCGCACAACTCTGGCGACAAGCTTAATCGTCGATAGGACGGTACACATTCGGGCTCTTTCCATGCTGTCGCTTTACTTCCAGCCGTCCTCTCTCCAAGAGAGCGAAGTCCCCGCCCAATTCAACGCCGAGGCAATCCATCATTCCCAGACCCTCGGCCTTCACCTGCTGCGCACCGGAGACCCGGCGCTCGAGACGCTCTTCTGCGCCGTATGGGCGGTCGATAAAATCAATGCGGCTGCGTATGGTCGGCCGCGACTGCTTCACGAGCGAGACTTTGCGGCAACTTTAGAGGAATGCTTCAGTCGACAGGAGCCATGTTTTCGGTTATACCTGTCTATATCGCGATGGCTTGACAGGACGATTGATCTGTATCGACCTGCAGCGAGCGCTCATGCTCTCGGCGATCTCAAACCTTTTGTCGAGCTGCCCGTGTTAGAGCCGATGATCGTCGAAGCAAACGCGCTGGAGGTGCCAACCCATCTACTCGGTAAGCTAAATTTTCTCATCAACCATTGTTCTGCGTGCTGACCACGTCTAGCCACACTGGAGGTCTTCTATCACGCCGTTATTATTCTATCATGTAGGCTGCCTCGGCCTGGTGCGGAATCAAATCAGTCGTCCTACGCCTCAAGCATCCCTCCGGCGATGGCCAACGCCCGCCGCTCACTGGCATCAGAACGCATCGCCCACGCCGTCAAGAAGGAGAAGCTTAGCCCCGTCCCCTTTATTCCGTACGCCGTTTCTCTTTCTCTCAGCGTCGAGTACCGCAAGATGCGCCACTCGGCGTTGCCAATGTTCCGCGCCCGCTCGCGCGACGTCTTCAAGTCCAGCTGCGAACTTCTGAAGCGGTTCAAGAATATATTCTATTCGGCAAAAGTCACGTACGGCCTCGGCGAGCGCATGCTCAAGGAGATGGAGCGTGCCGCCACGACGCTCGTGCAGGAAGCACCGCCGGCGGCGAACGCTTCCGAGATGTCCAGTGAGCCGACGCCCGAGGTCACCTTCTCGGCCGATCCACAGGACTTTGACATGTCGATGAACGGCATGCCGAATCTGGACTCGATCGATTTTAACATGGATGTTTTCGGCCATTTCGACCCCAGCTTTGATCTGACAATGGCGGATAACGCGTTGGAGGGCAACCTCGATATTGGACTTCCCCTGAATTGGGGCGAATGGGCACAATTCGGCAGCTAAGATCGAGCCCACGGCGGTTCATACCCGAAGCAGGCGCTCAGGCGATCCAAGCATGAGGATCATGATCTACAAGGGGCACATTGGAGACGAGTCACTTGTCGAGAACTATCAAATCTTACAGGAGAAACGGGCCGAGATGATGCAGATGTATAAAACTATATGATGCTATATACATCCACATTTTTCAGGATTCTATGACGTTGTCGCACAAATGAAATTCGGGCCAGAGCTTTGGCGCACATGCTGCTCTACACGTGGAGAATGTTTTCACGCAAAGTTCCAGCAGCTGGACTTGTACAGAGGGTGGTCGTACTCGTACAGGACCTTGCTGTAAATGTTGGCAATGTAGGCGACAATGTCGAACTTGAAGGTGCTCGCGAACCAGGCGCCGTTGGGGCAGGTGACGCCCTCAGGACGGGCCAAGGCGATGCCGGACTTGCTCGTGTACTCAAAGTTGGCGTCGGCGGACCAGGCGTTGACGACCTGAGGCTTGAGGTCGACGCCGGCGGTGAGGTCGATGGCGCGCTTGAAGGCCTGCACGCCGACGGCGAGGTTGAGGTCGAGGTAGGGGTTCAGCTGCAGCGAGACCTCGGCGTTGAGGTCGCTCGACATGGTCGTTACGGGCTCCCAGCCGCTGTTGCTCGACTTGTCGCTGTTGGCGAGGTTCAGGTGGATCTTGCCGGCGGGGATCTCGCTGTGGAGGCCGAGGCTGGCGTCGTCGGTGCCCTCGGCGGCGAACTCGACTCCGATGCCGAACGAGACGATGGGGCCGACGTCCAGGATGCCGGGGATGCTGAAGGCCGAGATGGACGCGGTGAAGGGCTCAAAGTCGAAGACGTCGGTCGAGTAGGCGGCGCCAACGTGCGCCGAGAGGTTGAGGGCGATGAGGGACGAGTAATCTATGTCGAGGGACATGGAGCTCGCCTTGAGGTCGAGAAAGTTGAAGCCGAAGCTGCCGGCGATCTGGACCTTGCTCTCGAAGCGCGCCTCGTCAATGTTGATCTTGAGGTCCGGCAGGTTGGCGAGCGTGCCGGCGATGTCGGGCGTGATCAGCGACTTGAGGTCGCGCTTGGCACCCGCTGCAGGGTTGGTGTCGAAGTTGACGGTGGCCTGAGCACCCTCGTCGTTGAGGGATGTGCGCTTGCTGCTTGCCGTGGCGACGAGCTTGGCATTGTCAAAGACTAGGTCGGACAGGGCGAACCAACCGCGCTCGTCAGACGGGTTGCAGCCGTCATCTGGGGAGTAGGTGAGGACGGTAAGCTCCTTGGGCCAGGCTGCCGTGGCGGCCTGCAGGGAAGCGAGGTTGCTGAAGTTGATGGTCACGGAAGAATCCTGGCATTTCACGGAGGAAACACCATCAACCTCCTCCAGTGCCACAGCGGGCTGCTTCAAGGCAATGTCGACAAGGGCCGTCATCTCGCTGCCGGCATATCCCAGGACGAGGTCCTTGGCCGGCGTCACCGACTCTTGCCTCGTCTTGAGCTTGAGTCCATTCCCTAGTTTACTGGAAAGGATGTTCGCACGAGGAATCGGACTCAGGATGACGGGTGCCGGCTTTTCGGCCAACTCCGGCACGGAAGGAACATCGGCAGCCGCGCGGACTGCGATGCCTTGGCCATGGTTAGGCTCGATACCGGGGCGCTTCGGAACGGGCTTGAGGATAGCCGGCGGATCGGCGGGAACGGCGGCACCTGAAGAAGTGCCGACCAAGCCTGCCAAAGCGCCGACGGAAAGAAGGAGAGATGAACCGGCCTTCATATTGGGTATGGTGCTACCGGGGTGTATTAAAGAGAGGAGTAGCAAGCAGAGCTGCAAATATAAAACGAAAGACTGTGTTCTTGAGCGGAGGAAGAGTGAGCGGAGGAAGAGTGATCAAGTAAACACGGAAGACTGCTGAAAGCTGCTTGCCGAGAGAAAGAAGCATCTCCTGAGCGACGAACGTCTTGGACTTTATAGGTAGACATCGTGAAGTCTTGCCAACGACCTCGAGTCGTGACATGTGGACCACGACAAGCAGAAAGAGACACGACAGGACGGCATAGTCCGTAGACCTGCCAGCCGCCGATGCTGAGAGTCATCCCTGGTCATCGTGATGCCGCTGCGCCTGGCCCGCCAAGTCCCGATAGGGTCCGAACGCCAGCGGGCTTGGTTTGACAGGCAACGTAGGAGTCTACCCTACCTGTACGTTCACAGGGCTGAGGGGTTGACAGGTGCAATGAGCGTAACAAGATGGTGGGCCTCAGAATGCTTGGAAGGGTCTTAGACTGGGATTCGCATGTGCCCAAACGTGGAATCAGCCTCCCCTCCCTCACAAACACGAGGCAGGGTCAAGGTCCTCTGCGGATGCCCCGAACTGTTGGCGTTCAGGGTCCGCAGTGAAGCTCGGACAGCCAACACCCGCTCTCCGGCTCCCAGGGCACGACTTACTCTTGTGGGGTTGTGGATGCATCGTGTTATGCATGTGCTTAAGAGAAATAAATGACACCGCCAGCTATAGGTGGGGGACTTGAGTCGTAACCATGTTCATCTTGACTCGGACAATACTGGGACTGGGAGGGCTGGGCACCGCCCGGTCATGCCGGCATTGACAGGACGAAGGCTTCGATGAGAAGCTTAATTTAGGCATGACTGCTCATAGGCCTACCCTCAGCGGATTCAAGATGTTGTATCCCACGTTGTGGGATGATCGCTCCCACCCGATTTCAAAGAGGCGGAGTTGAGTTGATCCCGTCGTATCGCGTATCGTCAAAGTCAAGTCCGCTTGCTGGTGTCACTCTTTCCCAAAGCTTAGTAGCATCATCAACGTCGATTCTTGGATTTCAAATGCTGCAGGCGACTTTGATTGAAGGAGCGAACCTTAGCGCAACACGTGTTCCCATGTTGTAGCAGTTTTTCACCATAACACTCGGCCTAGCTAGGCTCTCTTGTGCAGATTGCCACGCCCATCAGCTCACAATTCCATTAACAGGATTGGCCGGGTCGAAAAAGCGAAACCGAGAATTTAGGCTGAGTTAGTGAACTTAGGACCATGCGTACGTAACCGAGTTTGCTGCAAGGGATACCATTTCACGAAACCGATGACTTACTTCACCCAGCTCGGAAGCATCCGTGTAAGATTAGGGGTTATCGATGTCCCATCAAAGTGTGCCAAATGTGACGAACCTGACACTCCGCAACATCGATCACGTCCTCATACACGGGCAAAGACGAGGACATATGCAGTGCATGCTACAGTGTACTCAGTCATTTACTTGCAATATGACCCGCGGAGAGGGAGATCTTATTATGGTCAATGGGCTTGAGCTCGACCCTAACCGTGGTTTGATCTGCCAACACTGTTGGTGGATACCATCCAAATCGGGTCAGGGGACCAAGATCTACCCCATCAAGCCCATCTGATGTCAAAACGTGACCCCACACGCGCTTCGTCCGGACATGTCCTTGCAGGGGCTTGTAGGAGGTCTGGTCCGGTACGGAGGGCCCGGGGAGGCCAAAGCGTGTGCGGCCATCAGACCGCACACTTGGCTTGGCGGCCATTCTTGGTTGGACTAGAGATACCTGAAGCCTGGATGGTACATGTCATGATTGCTGACATGGATCAGGAAGTCAGTCCATCTATCTGTTTCATTCTCGTATTAGTCCGTCGGAATTGTGGATGTAACACCAGAGAAATTGTAAAATAATATGCAGCAGAACATGTCGTTGCTTCTGTGATCATGGTAGTAACCTCCTCCAAAGCGCTAGTATGAACCGAATGTGATTTACTTTTGCACCCTGCCGAGTGTGAATGCCATCCGCGGTATCCAGCTCCACAACCCACCGGGATGCTTGGACTATGACACTGGCCGGAGCCTCTTCCGGACAACCTCCCCCTCACTCGCTTTCAGTTTAGGCCCGGACGACTATGATTTGAAATCATGAAGTCGTCACCTACAAAACCCAAACAATATCGCGAGACCATTATGATGTTTCTATAGAAACTTCCCTTGCCGGGAATGGCGGAGGGAGCAAGGGAGCTCTTTTTCTCTTTCCTACGTTTCATCGACCAGATGCGTTCGAAACCCTACAACTGATGACACTAAGCTTGATGCTGCATTCGGGGATACTACTACTTCGGAACTGCGACCACGGCTAGATAAACAAGACTTGGTCGACGCTCATACATGTGATTCCTCGCTACTCAGACTTCCGGACTTTTCTTCTCGTCAGCTACCCCGGCAAAGCTAACATCGCATACGTAATCCTTGAAACCCCGCGCGGGCACCCTGTTGTTGAACATCTCCTGGATCTCGGCATAGTTCCGTCCCTTGAGCTCAGGCATGTAGAGATACAGGAACACGCACATGGGCAACGACAGGCCGAAGAAGATGAAGCAGATCTTCCCGCCAAGGTTGGCTTGATCAGTATTCAGCAGGTAGGGCATGACCTGGAAGACGACGCAGGACGCGGCAGTCGAACACATGATGTTGATGCTGTAGGTCTTCTGGCGCAGCTGGACGCTGGACGTTTCGCCGCCAACCGTGTAGGCTACAGCCCCTAGAGTGGCATGGTAGAGGAAGCCCCAGATGCACATGAACGCGACGGTTGCGCTCAGGGCAGCCTGGGAACCGATTGTGCTGATGCCGCCGATGACGAGAAGAAGGGCGGTCATGATGAAGACCCCGCCGACGATCATCGGGCGGCGGCCAAGGCGGTCGACAAGTGGCCAGGAACACATGTTGCCGAAGAGCTGGATGGCGTAGGCAGCTTGTCCAATCGCCAGGGGATCGTTCACACCAGCGAGCCGGAAGTAGTATGTGAGATAGCCGCTGATGAAGTTGACACCGATCGTCTGCTGGGAAAGATAGACCATGACAATGATGAGGGTTCGGCGACCGTTGGTGCCACGGAAGCATTCGATCCAGCTGCTTCCCTCTTGCTCTTTCTTAGCGGCCTTCTCCTTCTCCATTGCGATGGTGGCGACGGCCATGGCAGCGTCGACATCGAATGAGGTGCCGTTGAAGCGGCGGAAAGACTTGGCGGCCTCATCTGGGCGGCCGTGGATGATGAGCCAAGTGGGTGACTCTGGAATGATGGTGAGCGCAATCAGCAGCAGCGCAGGCGGAACAATCTGTGTGATGAGCGGGATGCGCCACGCCATGTCGTTGTTGTGGTGCTTGCTGCCAAGCACAGCGACAGAATTGAGCCACTGGCCGATAACGATCATGGTATTCTGCACGACTCTGTCAGACATTCTTGCTCTATGCTGGCGATGGAGGGAGATTGTTCATACCACGAGCGCCAAGCAAACACCGCGCATCTTGACGGGGGCCAGTTCAGCAACGAACACGGGTCCCAGCGAGTGGCCGAGACCGAAGCCGAGCGTTGCGACGACCTTGCCCCCAAAGAGCATCATGATGGACGTGCTGAAATACTGGAGGATAACTCCACCGGAGCAAACCACACACGCGATGATGATGGTCCGCTTGCGACCGATGTAGTCACTGATGATGCCGGTGAAAAATGCAGATACGAAGATGCCGATGGTGCCGGCAGCATTGAGTATTTGCTGGTTTTGGGCGGAGATGATGTAAATGCCATTGACCTCATGTCCAAAGTGCTCGGCGAACGGCACAACGGCAAGAAGCTTTCCAATCGTTGCGACTTCGTAACCGAAATTGATCGGGAGCAGGTAGATGAGTAGGCCTAGGGACTTGATTAGTGGTCGGTTTCTTCCACAGGATCCATGGCCGATGGATGGATTCCATGCATCGCCAGGATCAACAAAGACCACCCACAAAAGCTCAGAACACGCCTGTTAGCCCATAGATCAGCCCAGGTCAGCTTTTCATGAGCGTGGCCAGGCGGAAGAGCGGCGGTCGCTGCAAGGACGGCGTCATTGCGGCTGTCCGGATGGTCCCTTTCGTGGTGCTCAACGACATGTTCTGATTTGGAAGCCATCATAGAAGGCGATGAGGCTCGTTTGCGTTATCCTGATCGAGATTGTCGGTGGTAGCATCCACCTTCGACTCTCGGAGGGTCATCGAGACGTCTTATAGTTCACGGCTTCGGCAATCGTGCCATTCAATAAAGTTTCGTCGTCCCCCGCGTAGTCGTCCACCACGGATCCCCGCTAAATGACCCCAGACTTTTGAGAGTGTCCCACTAAGTGTGGGGGATAACGCTAAGCCGTGGTTATGAATGCCTACTTGGGTCAAGCCCATACACTCAAGAGAGTGCCACGGCGTCACTTTCACTGCACCCGATTTGTGTAGACAAGAGGTTGGTGACGCTAACGATCCCAGAGGTCTGGCGCGTGGGAAAGATATTATTTGCGACGATCTTGTTCAAGTCAGAGCAAAACGCGGCAGCAGACAAATGTTTCTTCACTAGGCTTGGCCTTCGTACCATCTCTTTCTCGACCTACTTGAGCAAACATCACTGTTACGAGGTGCATCACGTAAAGGCTCTTTGCAACTAAGAGGGCAGGCATACCTCGGCACGAAGCAAGATGATGAGATCAAAGAACAGGCCCTCTACTTGACGAAGTCAAGCTCAGTCTGGATGAAAATGGTAATCCTAAGCACCATAGGTAGGCAGTGGGCGTCGCTTCTCGGAGTGCTTCCGGGCTCCTTCCGGGTCTGGCGGGTCCGAACCAATTGGATATCTCCAATTTCGGAATCCCGATTGAACTCAGAGGCCGTGTAATCAGAATCACCTCGTTTCATCGCATGCAGATCTCTCGAATACATGCCGTTGCCAACTCCCGAGTGGGGACTCATGTTAGAATAGCCCACTGAAGGTCTCCAGGGATACGCATCAAATAGTATGATCATCGGCTTAGGTCCCTATGAAATGGTGACATGTTCTGACGGGATAAAACTCAAGGAGCGTCTCGTAATGGCGGACTGTCACTCCAAACCTGGGTTTACCTACAAGAACTTCCAGCATGCAAGTTGTCACTCAGTCTGGTCATTGTGGCTGCTCATCAGTCTTAAGACGGAAGCCGCCACGAAAGATTCGAATTTAAGTCACTCAATCCTACAGCTCAGAAAATGGCAGTGAATTTAAATTTATTCCTCCGCCCTTTTCTGCGGTTGTCTGTTCAGCTTCAATCGATTACCTCAGAGCGTATAGAACCACCCTGCCATGCCTTCGTTCAGACGAGTCCCTGCCTTCACACCCTTGTTGAGCCGCCAAAAGTAAAGATCCATGATGATGATCATGCAGATGCTGGTCATCGAAATACCGAACGTGGTCCACACACCAGTCTATCGGTCACGATTAGCTCGAGAAAGCTAGGCCAGAAAGCAGGAGTACTTACGGTATAGTGTGGGCTCTCTTTCGCCATGAAAGCCACACTGGAGATGATGCCTCCGACACCGCCACCAATGAGGCACGTTGCTGAAGCCACGGCTCGCTTAGAGTGGGACGTGATGTTGTTGGCCTGGAACGTCAGAACGCCGGGAACGCAGAACTGCAAAAAGCCGATGCCTGCGACATGTTAATGATTGCTTAAATAGATATCCCACCACGATGAAGCGGATCTGTCACGGGTAGGGCCTACCGAGAAACGCGCCAAAGTAACGAGCGGCGTTCGACTTGGCGTAGACGGTAATCAGCATGCCCACAGCAGTGATCGCCTGATGCACAGCGATGATCGGTCCGCGGATCTTGTACTTGTCGCCGAGCCAGCCGGACACGAAGGCCATGATGGCGGCAAGGAGATACGGCGGGGCGCTGAGAAGCATCGAGTTGGTGCGACTGAAGCCCATGCCGTTCCTCAGGATGATGGGTAGGAAGTACGAGTAAGCGTAGCCTGGCAGGGTCGAGGACATGAGGTTGAAGGCCCAGAAGTACAACTTCCAGTCTTTGAGATGTTTCAAGATCTTGCGAGCGTTGACACCGTCTTCCTCAGCGTCGCCCCTGTCGTTGTTGATACGCTCGATGACAAATGCCTGCTCGGCTGGCTTGAGGAACTTGCCGGCCTTGGTTGGGAAATCGATGATGATAAACCAGCCGAGTCCGCAGACAACGATAGTGATTGCACCCTCAATAATGAAGATCCCTGGTGGCGTGAGTAACCGATTCCTTGATTACATAGAGAGTGATCAAATACTCACAGCTCCAACCAGCTAGCCCACCTTTGCCGTCGAGCAAAGCAAGAACATAGGCAAAGATGGCTGAAAAGGCACTGAGGATAACGGACATGATCCAGAATCCCGATAGTCGCTTTCCAACCTCAAAACGGGTATACCAACATGTAATGAGATATGTGCAACCTGAAACTGTCAGCAACAGTTGCTGGTGGTTTGCTCAAAAGAAGTTCATTTACCCGGTAGGAAGCCCGCTTCTAGTACACCGAGAAGCGCTCTGCAGAGGGCCATGGTCCCCCAGTGTTTCGTGAAACCCATACCGAGCAGGACGGAGCCGAAGCCAACACCGAGAAAGGCAAGCCAATTTGCTGGACCGGCACGAGGTAGAATGAGGTTCTGCGGAGTCAGTTCAGAGTCGTTTCGTCATGATAATCAGCACTTACACTAGGAATTTCAAACAGACTAAACACACGTCAGCAGAGCGTCACTCGACAAGGCAACGAAGGGCCTCCATACATATAGGCTACGAAGAACACCATGACAATAACAGTATATCGGTTGCCAATGTGAAGTGCCAGGTCTTCCTGGAGGCCAGCCACGAGAGCTAGGCCCAGATTTGTGCGATCGATCAGCGAGATTGAGTACATGAGACCGAGAATTGGGAGGAGTCGAACGTCGATGCGTCGGCTACGATGTCGCCCGTCAGCTGCCATTCCCAAACCTTGCATGGGCCATGAACAATACGCACATGACTTTCTTCTGTTCTTCTGGACTCAAGCCATGCGTGCTGACAGCGGCAATATCCTTTTTCTCAGCATCTTCCACATGCGCAGAACCTTCAAATTTCTCTTCGACCTGGTAGTTGCCCGACTCCTCATCGGATTGGCGCGTGCGAAGGCCATCTGGAGCTTGCTGCGCCGCCATGGCAGTAGAGTTGCGGTTGCGTTGGATGAGGAAAATGCGAGTGCTGCTTCTCTGTTATCAGCAGCAGTGCACTTGTATGGTCTGCAGTCCCGAGAATGCGGTTGGGATGGCCATCTCTTTTGTAGGTCAAAACAGTCGACGAGATCGTCAAATCATCCTATGTTGCGGGGTAGCTCTGGGGAAAGCATGGGGTAGATCGTGGGGGATAACCATTGAATGCTGGTCGTCAGAGCCGTCGTCGGCTGAAACCAACCTATCTAGACGTGTCTCGAGCAGTTATTGCGTTCTTCCACGGAGTCAGAGCGCCAGAGTCATGCCGAGGGATGGTAATGCTCGTCGTGGCGACCAATGATGTCTGTTCGTATGTGCTATGGTGCCGCGGGGTAGGGTCAAGAAATACCCAGAGCCGGCGCCAACCTCGGGTCTCTTCTACCGCGTCGTGCGGGGAGCTTACACGAAAATTGGACTAGAGTTTCGTATGTGAAGTATCTCTGAATGTCATACTGGTTATGAAGCTCATGGTTACTAATGGTTGCAGAGCGTATATCGTTCAGCAACCTGCGGTAAGCGGCCGTCTCATTCGGCGTAGTGGCGCCTGTGTGGAAGTGTTCATGGAAGCTGATGATCTTGTCAAACACTCACAATTGAGTCGTAACTAAAAACAAGAGCAATTTGAAAGCATGAGCATCCTTGTACACGTCCTTTCTAAACTGCGGTCTGCTTGTATGTGCACGGGTGTCCAAGACCCATGCAACCAAAGTATCCCAAGACGATGGATTCATATTACATGCCCACTAGGCATCGCGTATTCTCGTATCATAGCCAAAGTCTCGCTCCCCTCCGCACATTTTGCTCTCGGATGAATTGCCCGTCACCCTGAGCACTCTCGCCTTCATCCCCGTCCTGATAGTCAATTACCTTGAGGCGCCGAGAAGTCTGCCCTTCGCTCGACCGCTCGCCCCTCCAATACGACGGCACACTGGCCGGAACGGATTGAAAGACGGGAATGTCCGCATACATATCCGGAAAGTGCACAAAAAAGTCCGGCGCCATCGCCCAGGCCTGGATATCACGTATTCGTTCGGAAAAGGCGGGCGAGATGCTATACAGCCCTGTCCGCAGGTTCCGCCTGTAACAGTCCCGCAGCTCAAACGGCCACAGCAGCCGGAAGTTGTCCGCGAACACCTTCCAGAAAAAGTCGGAGCAGTATAGGTGCTGGGAGAATACGAAGCGCTCTCTGACGCCGGGCCTGGGATCAAACTTAGCAAACAACCGTGACTTCGTTTTCTGTGCCTTTGCTTTTCTTTTTCTTGCGAGGAGAGGGATAGATTGCATTACCACACAAAAAAGTCAATGGCCGACGAGTGCGGCAATGACTGCGACGGTCTTTTCGGGTCAGCACCACGTCCAACAGAAGAAGAAACGAGCCTTCGGAAGGCTAGCTTCAGCAAAACAACATACCTGCTCAGATACCACGGCGGCAGTTTCGCATACTGATCCGCCGTGGGCTCCGCCTGGTATCTCAGGAGCGTATGCATCAGCAACAGTATCGCCAACCGCTCCACCTTGCCGCAGCTGCTGAACTGAAGCTCGTCTGTCCTGCGCAGCTTTCTCCACAGCGGCGGCACATTTCGGGCGCCCTCGACCGCGTCCCACCCTTCCAAGATGACCTGAACTGGAATGTCCTCGCCGAGGCCGTCTTCGTGCCGCAAGGTCTGGACGGGCAGAAGCCCTGGACTGCTGAGGGCCTCGTTGGCCGTGCGCCAGATGCTGTGGTTGGAAGACGAAGGCCGACCTGGTAGCACACCAGGCGAAGTGCAGTCGCAGGGCTTGTCCGGTTCTGGTACGATGACGAATTCAGGAACCCGGGGTGCCTCGAGTTCGGCGAGCTCACCATGTCGAAGCGGGTCAGCTTCTGGGGAGGGTATGTGATCCAGAAAGTCAGCAGTAGGGAGACCAAAGATATCACCGGACGGAAGGGGCGTCAGGTCCATGATGGCGCTTGGTGAGAGCATCTCCATCGGCAGATCCTGCGTCTGCAGGAGAGACGACGCGTCTATGCCGGGCCACTGCTCCCCATGCGTGTTGCTTTCAGACGGCCGCGGTTGCTCGAAGCCCTTCGCAGCGATTCTCTCAGCTTCCCGATGGACGTGAACGCTCGTCTCGATCGATGAGACCAATCTAGACAGATCATCCCTTTGGCGTCTCGTTTCGACGAGCTGGTCCATGAGACTTGCGATGGTACCGCTCGATTCCTGCTGCGCCATGGCCTGGACGGTGGCCTCCAGATGCGCAATGCGAGTCCGTGTTCGCTCTCTCGCCGCCCGCTGGGACCGGCGGTCGAGCTCGCGCTTCTTGGCACGCCGGGCGGCAACATCGTTCCCCTCGGGACTAGGAGCCATTTTCAGTTCTCATACAACGCCAGGGACAAGTCTTTGTCGGTGTAGTTGCGAACATGCCATTTTCTTTCTTGGACAAATGGCAGGGGGGAAGTGCCTTGAGATTCGTCTACCCGGTCGAAGAATATGGGGGATCCAGCCGGTACACACCACTACTACAGCGCGCTAGGTGACCTTGGTGACGGACGGATGCGGGGTAAGAGCTCGCGAAGATGCATCATTGGCGGTTGGAAAAGAGTTAGTACAGCTCAGCGAACATAGCCAAGGCGTTCGTTTGTTCTGTGTTTGCCATGGGCGATGCCTGGCACGTGGTTTCTGCTCTTCGCATGTCCTGCCCACCAGCCATGCAGGGATGCGGCGGCTCCCTGACTGGAATCGCTCGCAATGCGAAGCTTCGATATGCTGCTGGAAATCTCCTACTTTGACAAGCCATCATCCGATCATCGCAGCGCGTGCATTGAACATGTAAACAAATCATTTTCCGCTCTCTATCTTCTATTCGTCTCAAGAATGCCTCCAGAGGCGCCGTCGTTCTTTCATCCACCACTGCGCGACGATTTCAGCCTCTTTCACCCAATCAGCAGCGCTTTCCCCGTGCTTCTTCCGCACGGCACTGACCAGCCTCTTCAGCGACCAGGCCGAAAGCACATCCTGCTCAGTTGGGTCTGTCTGTAGGTCAGACATTTTGTAGTCAAAAGTCTCCACGAGGGGCAGAAGTAGTCGCCAAGTAGTGTCTGCCGAGGTGATGGAGAGCATGCCAGCTCCCGAGTTGACGACGGAAAAGTTCCATGCGCGGCGGCCATCGTCCGCCGTCTTGTAGGGTCGAATGAGGGACTGACCCTCATAATCGTGCACGAGGTCAGATGCGATGCTGCTATCATGCTTGTTGAGAGATCCGGTATTGATAAGAAGGTCCAAGATCGTAGGGAGAATGGACAGGGAAGTCGCGTTGGCCTCGTACTCTATCCGGGGAAGGTGGGGATGAGAGAAGACGATGGGGATGCGGAAGTTGCTGATGTGGCCGTTCTCAAAGGTACCCTGCCTCTTGCAGTCCTCCTTGAAGGCCTGGCCGTGGTCGCCTGCAAACACGACAAGCGTTTCATTGGCAATTCCCGTCTCCTCAAAAAGCTGCATTAGGTTGCCCATCCAAGCATCGTGGTAGTTGACGGTCTGGAGGAACTTATTCAGATCCCGGTGTTTAATGCCCTTGCTGTCGAAATAATCGGTCGTATTCCACGCCTTCGGAGTGACCCAGGGATGGTGGGTCGAGCTGGTAAAGTGCATCATGAACATACGCTCGTTATTCGCCGCCGTCTCGTTGATATAGTCCTTCAGGTAGGGGACGAGGACGGGTTCGGCAAAGCCAAAGTAGTTGACCTTTTCGTAAAGTGGCTCGAGCGGCTTGTACCGCGACGTGTCTGCCTTGAGTTGCTTCTCGGTCACAATGTGTTGGAATCCAATCTTCTTGTCAAACTTGTCCTGCCTGTCAAAGGTCTCCGTCATTGCCTCGAATAGTGCGGGACGCCACTTTTGCTGGCGAAAGTCGCTTGCAGGATCGGGTTTGCCACTGCCGTCCTTGTCTCGGTTGAAGAGACTAAGGATTTGGGGGAGACACGGTTGATAGGCGTCGGTGTCGGCCTCGTCGAACTTTTCCACAGCCATGGGCCATGTGCCACACAGATTGGCTGAGTAGCTCTTCGTGGACATGGTGCTGCTTGTCAGCGCTCCAACCACATTAATACCTCCGTAACCGGGCTGGGACGGCCCTGCCCAGGACACTGGTGGTGTTTCAATCCCTTCGAAGTCTGCCGTGTATCCTGTGATCTTTGCGATGTTGGGAGTCATCTGGGCCAGTCGAAGTTTGATCTCATCCCTCATCTCCTCCTCGTTCGCTTCCACAATCATGTCGTGGAAGTTGGTGTTCGGTCGAATGGGGAAGACCTCAGAGCGCAGACTCTCCATGAGTATAAAGACCACATGTTTGATCTTGACTTCGTCTTTGTCGAGGCTGTCTTGCAACGGCTTAAGGATGTCGTCGTTGAGGTTCGTGATCCGTAGAGGATCATCTACAGGGTTGTAGAATGACTGCTGGATATCTGGAGGCGGGCATCCAGGAGGCGGAGGTGGAGGAGGATGATGCCCGGGTGGCCCAGGTGGCCCTTCTCCACGGGGTCGTCCATGAGGGGGCGGCGGAGGAGGCGGAGGATGCCCGGGTAAGCCATGGCCGGGCGGGCCATGATCGTGAGCGTGAGGAGGTGGTGGGCCTTGATCCCTCCACCTTGCGCGGTCCCATCGAAGGAAACCGCGTGGCATCGACTCGATGACCCAGTCAACGACTCGGTGCTGGTAAGCATCGGCCATGGGGCTGCTATCACCAGGTGCCCAGCCCTTGAAGTTCCCCTTGGGCATCTTCCACCGAGACTTCTCCGTCAACTCGGGTAAGGGCCAGTTGTTCAGGCCATGATGTCCGGCCCCCATGCAGCTGTGCCGAGGGGGGCCGCTGAAAGAAAACATATCGAGCATGGCGACGGGGAGCGTGACAGACATGTGGTCGAAGGGCTTGTGTGGTCGTAAAATCATGGCGAAGGCCAAAAAGCCTAGTGCTGCAGCCTTGAGCCTCCACGAAGGCACACGTGAAGGTCGGGACTGCGATTGGGGAGAACGGGATCTCGAGCTGGATCGGGAAGACTTGGTTTCCCTTAGTTCAGGAGGATTGCCCCAATCGTCGCTGTCGTCGCTATCGATGTCGGCGGGCGCATTGGGTTGCTGACCGTTGTTGTCCTCGCCCTCGCCATTGTGCAACATGCTGCGGCTAGATTCGGCGTCCTTTTCGACATCATGAACCTGGCGTGATTTCAGAAACTGCTTGCATGCTGGGTTTTTATAGATTAGCAAAGACAGGTTGATCGGCCGCAATGTCTCTTGAGAGCATACCGTAAACCACACAGTAGCCAGCTTCAATCAGGAAGTCTCCAACGGCTTTGTAAAGGATTTGATGGGTGAACCACGCAACGGAGAGAATGAACAGGGCGGATGCCGTGACAGGCAGGAGACCGCTGAGCAAGACATCTCTGGCTTCCTTCTCGAATGCGAAGGTGGCGGCCGAGTGCCATTCAAGCTCACTGCCTGTCTCATAGAAGAAACCTAGGGTGGATGATGCGGCTCCAACCACCACGACGCTAAGCAAATGTCAGACTTGGCCGCCATGGCTGGGATGGGGATAGGGGCAAAAGCAAAGGCAAGGGTGCGGGCGGCTTGTCGCTCGAAGGCTGGGAGATAGGGGGGACGGGACGGGGGTATGCGAGTACGCGCGCGCACCCCCGACAAGCGGGGCGGAGAGCTGAGGGAGGAACCTACGTCAGCAAAGATCCGACAACACACGCGATCAACGACAGACGGCCCTTTTCCCGACGAAGAGCCAATCTGGCGACGCATATGACGAGAAAGTCGGGCAGAAAGAAGGTCGGCAGGTAGAAGAGAGCCGAAGCCACGGGGATGGTAGGCGCGTGGATGAGGAGCAGAATCAGCTTGGTGAGGAAGAGAGACGTGCAGAGGGCGGCGAAGAGCAAGGAAACGACCGGTAGGTGCATGGTGACAGGACCTGAAAGTCGTCCATGGATTCGGAGCAGGAAATGCGACTGCCAGAGCGAGGGATCTGCCAGTCAGGAAACTGCCAGCCAGGAAACAGACAGGCGAGGAAGTAGGTAGGTAGGCAGGCAGGCGGCAGACCGAACGAAGGTGGGAGAGGAAGGAAATGAAGAACTTTTAGTCGAGTCGTGCCTGGCTCGCGGTGGGAAAGTAGGAGCAGGAGCAGGAGCAGGAGAGAGGAGGTACGTGGAAGGAGCAAACAAGAGAAAGGGGAGGAAAGCAGATCTATCTAGATGTACAGATGCACACCGGCCAGACCTAACAGAAGCACACAGGCCAGACCAGATCTAGGCTGTGGACTGAGGTGATCTGATGGGATGGATGGATTGGCAGCGGCGGCGCGCCAGTGGGCAGGGCAGCGGGAAGGCAGTGCCGGTCTTCATTCACAGCAGAGGGAGCCGCACCAGCCAGCAGCAGCAAGTAGCAGAAGGTGCTCGCGTGCCTTTGTCTTACCGCAGGGTAGCCAGCCCTTCCTTTCTTGGCCATTCGTGTGACCCTACCCGGCCTTCTTTCTTCCATCAAAGGTCGCGCCTGTCCCCCTTCGTAAACCTTCCCCCATTCCTGGGTCCCCAGTACCATGTACTGGCTGTCCACCCCTGTGGG